AAGTACAACGAAGGGAACTCGTGAGACGTAAGAAAGGCCTTCATAGTCGTGGCCTCCATTTCGAATCCGAATCTGCATGCCATGAGACTTGGCACATATTACTGTGGCCTGAACATGTGATGAGTTTTGAGCAGCTACGATGGCAAGAGGTTTTGATGTTGTGGGTGTTGCGTATCTACAGTGAGATGTACGATTGAGCAAAAGAGACGAGAACAAGGAATTGCTGGATGTGAAAATCGCTATAGAGATTGGAGTAGAGGATTTGGAAACATCGTTTGGTAGACAACTAAGAAAATTGTCAAAGGACGAGGAGTCTGAAGTTGAGTGAACAGCATGTACGAGTATTAGCAAAAGTGCAAGAATCGCTATAGGAAAAGGAAGATGGTTTCATTGAGAAGGACAAGGGAAATTCCTCAATTAGCTCTGAGTTTGAATGGATTCGAATTGTGGAAATGGAGCTATTTATTACTGAATATTGAAGGGCGCGTTTGGTCAATTGCTTGGATCAACGAGTTTTTTGGTCAATTGATAACGATCTATTTAGTCTCTTATGGGAGAGGCTTAAACGTTTAGGATTCCGTACGAGTCATAATTAATTAATTACAGAATAAATCCAATTGATGGCTTGGAAACAATGAATCTTATTATTATTTTTTGTCATTTGACTTTATTTCTATTTTATCAATGGTCCATTAATTTCTATGGGCTCTATGTTGTTTATTTGAAATTATCTTTCCTGATTAAGGTAAGTTTGAATTATAAATCAAGATTTTCTATAAAAATTGATTGATTGATGATGCATTGACTTTTGAGATGAAAAAGTAAGCCCTCTAAACTAAGTTGAATTATAAATGAAGATTTTCAATTTTTTTTTTGAATTAAGAATCAATCGATAATTTGTATCAAAGAAAGAATCAATCGATAATAATTAACACAAATTTAAAGAATTAAATTGACGATAAAAATTAAACGGCAAGATTTTATATACTTAATATACTTTCATTAAATCAAATCAAGACATGTGAATTTTAATATGTTAATAATATTAATAACATTTATTATAGAATAAATAATCTATACTTCTTTCGTTTAAAAATGTAGACATTTTTTGAGGAGTTGAGTATTAAAAAATGCAAGACATTTTTAGTCTTTTAGGGTATAATCATTGCTTTTTTTTTTAAAAGTGCCCCTATTGATAGTGACTTTATATTTATTATAGAGTGTTTAATAAGAGTAAATATGAAGAGATATGATTAGTTTGAAAGTAGGTAACTACTTTATTGGGGGTGAAATTCGGTTAAAAATATCTTACATTTTTAAATAGAGGGAGTAATAGTGTAACATCCTAAAACTTCAAATCTAAAAAAGTTAATTAATTAAGGAATAAATTAGTTAAAAATATGATTAATTTATTTAATTATATTTTTGGATGGCTAATTGAATTTTTAGGTCATATTTGGCTCTAAATTGAGTTAGAAATGTAAGTCGAGAGGCATCGGGGAGAGCAAAATCTACTTGTTGCTTACTACATCATGAGCCGCGGCTTGCGTGGCTTGCGCTGTGGCGCACGGCACATCATGCAACTTAAAATTTCAGAAATCATTAGAAATTGACAGATTTTAGGGTGAAAAATCTAGAACACGAAGGGGACAACTTTGGGCACTGCTAGGGCATCAATTTGAGAGGATTTTGAAGATAGCCTTCAAACTCTTGAGTAAGTTTTCTACCCTTCTCTCTATCTTTTCATCTCATTTTTCATGGGATTTGGAAGAGTGATAATTTGGTCTGATTGGATTAAGCCATGAGTTAATATTTTAAAGGTTTCTATTGACTCTAAAGATTTAATTTATGTTTATTAATCTTAGATATATAGTAATAGGAAGCTACTTTCTTGTTTGGTGAATTTTAGATCAAGCCCTAACTTGATCATAGGGTGTTGAAGTGTGATAAGTTGAGATATTAAATTTTATGTGGTGATAGAGTAGAAGGAGGCTTAAAGGGATTGTGTGAACAAATTGTAATCTTGACAAGCCTATTTGTTAAGAATTTGAGTGAGAAGTGGGAGAATTGGGAGGTTATTGATAGTTAATAGTGTTTGTGTTAATTGAAAATTAACATATAGTACTTGTTGATGTAGATTGCAGTGTGAAAAGACTTACCTTGACACAAGAAGAAATTTAATACCATGAGTAACCCTTTTTAGTAATAAAAAGGTTAAGATAACTAGATAATTTGTATTGTTTATTATCTTATATAAGTTATTTTCAAGTTGCTTTTCTATAATTTATTGAGTATATATGTATAAATTCTTTAAAAGTTAGCTATTTTAGATAATGAGTGAAGTATTAATTTGTGAAATTCTATATTTTTGAAGTAAATGGTAAGATTTGTTATATTTGTTTGGCAAGTTGTTTATGCATAGTCAAGTGGAGATATATAGTAAAATGTGACATATTAGAGGGCGGGAGGTCACCTAGTGGAGATAGTGAAGATTAAATTCATATGACATTGCTGGTACCTTGGGACGCTAAGTGCAGCACTTACTCTGTTTAATACCCAAAAGTGTGTGGAGTTGGAAATTATGCTCCTTAGCATCTATAGGATGTGGTGTTGGAGTAACGACATCCCAATTACTTGTAATAGGGGGAATCAGTAGTCCAGAAGTGGTTTAGGATACCTTGGCCAGGTAGTCCTACCATGGATAGTGAGCTTGGGAACCATACATGTGGTTTGGTTTTGTGAAATAGCCTATTAGTTTAGTCGGGAGTATTGGAAGACTGGATGGTTAGGGATCATGCATGCAATTTGTGGTGATCTTATATGATGTGATTATGTTACTTATTTTAATGCTTGTCTATAACTTGACATTTTAATCAATAATCTAGATTATTTTGGGTACTGAGATTTTTATATCACCCCATGATTATCATTTTACATGTTTTACCAGTGAGACTGAGCCAAGGAGGGAATCGGGCAAGGGCTAGTATACTTGTGCATTCTCATTGTAAAGCCTGATTTTGATTTGAGTCATGTACATAAACTTATTAGCTGATATTATATGTTGCCAACTAGAAATGCATATTATTTTGATTGGTTGCACTTGTTTTGATTGGTTTCATACTATATTATTTTGTATTTTAGCCCAATATTGTATATGATGTGAATATGTGGGAATTTTTGTGGTGATAGACTAAAATACTAATACAAGTACAAGGAATGTTTTATTTATGTGGTGATAATGTATTTGTAGTGTATTATATGGCAATAGAGGCCAAATAGTGCTTGTAGTGTTAGTTGTGTAGTTTGATCATTTTGGGCAAAAGGGCCATTGAGTGATTAAGTTTTATGTTTGTATATTTTTGTGTGTTTGATTGGTTACTCAAGTGTATTCTAGTCCATTAAACTTGGTTCAAGCCTTACTATATGTTAATAATATAAGTTATGAGTTTTGAGTATTTGAATGCTTGAAAATCTCTTTAAAAACTGACTTTTACATTTTAGTATTTAAAATTTTTATATGGTGTTGAATTGTAATGAAACTTATACCATTAGTTAGTTATTGAATAAGCTTCGCGTGGGCGCTTGAATCACTCCAATCGGACATTGGATGTGAAAATGGCGCGCGTTCGAAGTTCATCCAAAAAAGCTATTATGACAGCATTGCTGTCATGGACACGTGCGTTGTGGCGCACGTTACAGTGAGCAAACTTGACTTTCTATGTCACATGCCGCAGCGCATGCCCCACGAGCCACGACGCATAGACCAAAACACTCAAAAATGACATTTTTGACCTTGTTTTGAAGTGTTTTGCTTCCCAAAACTTTTCCATGCTTCCAATAACTTTATAAATCATTAAGTTTGAGCTCAAACTATCAATTAAAAAGGATTTTTATGGGATTCTAATTATTCCACAGTTATTTTTTTAAAAGATTATTAATTTTAACCCTTATATGAATAATGTGAGCTTAGGAGCAATCCTTACTCCTAATTATGATTATTTGTTGTGATTGTGTAGTAAATTTTGATAATATTAAAGTAGACATTACAAATAGATACACACATCTTGATTTAATTAAAAATAAACATTTAAGTATATAAGACTAAGTATATAATTTTTAAATTAAATTTCAAGAACCAGATCCATAATTGAGATAAATTTAAGAGATTACAAGTTTCATTATCTTTTTTAAAAATTTCAGAATTATTTAATCTTTAATTACATTTATATAATAAAAAATACACAGAAATATTGGCATTCAATATAATTAATCTAAAAATAATAATTGTAAGTCGTAACATTTTCAGGAATATATCCATTTGAAATATAAAATATTAAATTACTACAATAGATTTTTTTTAAAGATGTTAGAAATTCAAACCGTTTTTAAATAGTGCGTGATCTATCCAAGATTGAATTTTTTCATCCATATTTATTGAGGAATTAATTTTTTAACAACCATTCATTGTAATTAATATTATTAATGTATGTTGAGACTTGAGAGGTGCTAAACAGATAAAGAAAATAATAAGGTATACATTTTTCCACTGAATAAGATACATGTACTTTTTTTAAATTAAAATAAATATAAACATTCAAACCTTTTTTAAAAAATAAAAAGATCTATCCATACAGTTCTTTTATTTTAATCGGCATTGTAAATTGTTTGATGTAAATAAACAATCAATAACTAATAAATTACACTGAAAATAATAAGAAGCTAAGGGCGTATATCTTAAACCAACAGTAAAATCAAATCGAATCGAATCAATTTATAATAATATATTGATATTGATATATTGATTTATCCTCATCTTTCTTAACAGATAAATTTTTAACAATTTTTTTTTTTTAAAATCATACTGACCTTCCCTAATCCAAGTAAGAGTATGACCACCAATATATATATATATATATATGTATCTGTGCTAGTTAACCTCTCAATCCTTAATACAAAGCCCTTGTGAATTGACTCTCCGATTCGAATACATTTAAGATGGGAGGCGCAGGTGTACTTGCTACTGAGAAGAAAGCTTATCCCGGTAAGCTCACCTTTTCTGTTTTGAAAGCTTGCATTGTTGCCGCCATGGGTGGCCTCATCTTTGGCTACGACATCGGAATTTCCGGTAATCATCTTCGTCTTTCACTTTCTTCTTTCTCTTCTTCTTCTATAATATTATTGTTTTACGACTGACTAAATATTTGGGGTTAACTTTTGTAAACAGGTGGAGTCACCTCTATGGACTCTTTTCTACTTCGATTCTTTCCTTCCGTCTATCACCAGAAAAATTTGGACCAGTCCAACAATGAATATTGTCAATATGACAGTCAGATATTGACTACATTCACATCCTCTCTCTATATCGCCGCGCTCTTGTCCTCATTGGTGGCCTCCACCATGACACGTAAATTCGGACGCAGAAACTCCATGCTCTTCGGCGGCGCTCTCTTCTTCATCGGAGCTCTGTTGAATGGCTTCGCTCAAGCTATTTGGATGTTGATCTTGGGTCGCATGTTACTCGGTTTTGGCGTCGGATTCTGCAATCAGGTATAAATAATTCTTCTGTCAGTAGTTACTATCGTTATGGTTTATTTTCGTCAACTAATGAGTTTATTGTTACAGTCTGTGCCACTGTATCTCTCCGAGATGGCTCCGTATAAACACAGAGGAAGTCTCAACGTCATGTTTCAAATGTCCATCACGATCGGTATTTTGATCGCCAATGTGTTGAACTATTTCTTCGCTAAGCTGAGCGGTTTAGGGTGGCGTTTGAGCTTGGGTGGGGCCATGGTTCCGGCACTCATCATCACCGTCGGCAGCTTCTTCCTTCCCGACACTCCGAACTCCATGATCGACCGGGGAGATCACGAAGGAGCAAGGGCGAGTCTCGAGAAGATTCGGGGAATCCAAGATGTGGACGAGGAGTTCGATGATCTCGTCACGGCCAGCCTGGAGTCGAAGCTAGTAGAACACCCGTGGAAGAATCTGTTGCAGAGAAAGTACAGACCCCAGCTCATCATGTCCATCATGATCCCTTTCTTCCAGCAACTTACAGGCATCAACGTCATCATGTTCTACGCTCCGGTTCTCTTCAACTCCATTGGGTTCGAGAGCGACGCTTCTCTCATGTCCGCCGTCATCACCGGCTTGGTCAACGTGCTCGCCACCGTCGTCTCCATTTATGGCGTTGACAGGTGGGGAAGACGGGCCCTCTTCCTCGAGGGAGGATTCCAGATGCTCATTTGCCAGGTACATTATGCGCAACTCTGTCTATACACACACATAATTGCTTCTTTCTTTCAAATTCAAATTCAAATTTTCTGAGCTGACGGTGGTGTTGGTGCTTGTGGACGACGCAGATTGTAGTTGCAATCGCCATTGGAGCCAAGTTCGGGACCGACGGGAACCCGGGGGTGTTGCCGTTGTGGTATGCGGTCGTGGTGGTGGCTTTCATATGCATCTACGTGGCTGGTTTTGCTTGGTCGTGGGGTCCTCTGGGATGGTTGGTGCCAAGCGAGATTTTCCCGTTGGAGGTTCGGTCGGCGGCTCAGAGCGTAACGGTCGCCGTGAACATGTTGTTCACTTTCGTGGTCGCGCAGATATTCCTCACCATGCTATGCCACTTGAAGTTCGGGCTGTTCATCTTCTTCGCCGTCTTCGTGGTGGCCATGACCGTATTCGTCAAGTTCCTGCTCCCCGAGACGAAGGGCATTCCCATCGAGGAGATGACTAGGGTTTGGAGGGCACACTGGTTCTGGTCCCGATTCGTCGATCAAGATGAGAACGGTCCCATGCAGATCCCCGAATCCCCATACTTTGTAGATACTATCATTTAGTTTTGATCAGTTCAGTTTATTAGAAAATTTTAGGAGCCTATGACTCACTGTCATTTTTTGAGTTTCTTGTTTGACAATGGGATTTCTGATGCTTTTTTTTTTAATAAAATATTTTATATTGTATTTCTTCTAATTCTGATTGGCTATGCATATTGAATTGCTGATACACAAGTTTTTGAGCTGATTGGCTGAAAATGGAGTGAAGGAACCAGAACAAAACCATGCTACTCAAAGAGGGGGGAAAATAGAAGGGAAAAAAAATAAAATAAAATTGCAGACTCGATCAAAGAGAATTCATGGAAGCTATGCTAAACAGGATGAAAATAATTGAAGAAGCTTAGTCAATGGAGATGAAAGCCTGAATTAGAAGAGGAACACAATGAATATCTACATTAAAACACCCACAATCCACACTTACGACATTGCTCCCACCAATTAATTTTCAATAAAAGCTGCAGAGTGCAGAACATGCATCACCATGATGAGTTCTCATAATTTCTTACTGCCCATACCATGCAAAATATAATATTCGAAGTCAGTGTCTTGGATTTTGTTTTCCTTTCCCCATATTCCATTTGAATAAATACATTATTCTTGGTGTATAATGAATAACCCAGTCTGCAGAACCTAGCTTAATCACAATCTCTCCTTAATTAACCCATAATTATTTGACATTGAAGATGCTAATTACTGCAACTTTGGAACAAACAGATTTCTAACAAAAACAAAAACGTTATAAAACTGAGTGAAATAATATGATCTGAGATGAGCCTCAGATATATGACTTCTATTTATATAGATTCAGAACTATTTACACTCTAACGTATACATGCATGCCAGCTCATTGCTATAAACAACAATATGATACACAATAAATGATTCGGTTCTAACTAATTAACAATATCGCTAACAGACTTAACACCAGAACTCTTGAGTTTCTGTCTGGGTGGTTTGGGCTTAGCTTTGGACTTATCTTTGGGCTTAGTATCATCCTCAACATTCCCCCTCAAACGAGAGGGTGGTACTACCAGCCCGAGTTTGTCCCGAAGTGACAGAAACCGAGCTGAACACAATGGCTTAGTCAAACAGTTAGCTAGCTAATCAGAAGAAGGAACGTAACGCACAGCAATACGTCCACCAAGAACATGATCCCTGATAAAATGAGCATCAATTTCAACGTGCTTAGTTCGAGCATGAAATACAGGATTGGCAGCAAGGGAAGCAGCATTGGTGTTGTCGCACCAGATTACAGAAGGAAGCCAAGTTGGAAAACGTAGCTCATGAAGCAAGGAATGAAGCCAAAGAAGCTCAGCAGATGTGTTGGAGAGAGACCGATATTCAAGCTCGGTGCTAGAACGTGCAACAGCATGCTGCTTTTTGGACGACCAAGAAACAAGAGCATCTCCAAAATAGACAAGATAGGCTCCTGTAGAATGATGATCATCAGGGCAAGAAGCCCAATTTGCATCAGAATACGCCATGAGAGACAAGGGAGAAGAACGCTTGAGATGAATCCCCAGAGAAGGAGTGCCCTTGAGATATCTTAACAGGCGCTTAAGAGCTTGCCAATGAGCAGTTGTCGGGGCTTGCATAAACTGACTAAGCTTGTTAACAGAAAAGCTTAAGTCAGGATGAGTGTAGCACAAATATTGAAGGGCACCGATAGCTTGACGATAAGCAGAAGGAGTAGCAAGAGGAGTCCCACAAAAGGTTGAAAGACTCAAACTAGTACTCATGGGTATAGCTGCAGGATTAGAATATACCATATCAAACTTGTGCAATAGATCAGTGGCATATTTACTTTGAGTAAGATAAAACCTAGAAGAATCACGAAAAACCTTAAACCCAAGAAAATAATGAATGGGACCTATATGGCTATATCCTTAAGAGCATACAAGGAATGGAGACGAGCAATGAATTGAGTAACACTGCCAACATTATTGCCAGTCACAAGAATGTCATCAACATAAACTAAAACTAGAAGAATCTGATTTTTGTTGATAAAAATGAATAAAGAAGAATCATTTCGACTGCGTTGAAAACCCCATTCTAGTAATGTGTTTTTGAGACGATCATACCATGCGTGAGGTGCTTGTTTAAGACTGCAAAGAGCCTTAATGAGCTTGCAGACATGAGTGGGTCGACTGGGATCAACAAAACCCTCAGGCTGAGTCATATAGACAGTCTCATCAAGAACACCATTAAGAAAAGCATTATTAACATCAACTTGACATACTAGCCAGTCAAACGAAGCTGCCAAAGTGAGAACAATATGGATGGTTGACGGCTTAATAATTGGACTAAACGTCTCACCAAAGTCAACACCAAGTTCTTGATGAAAGCCTTTGGCTACCAGACAGACTTTATGAGTCTGAAGCGAACCATCTGGCTTATATTTTGTACGCCAAACCCACTTGCATCTAACCAAGTTATAATGAGACTTATAGGGCACTAAATCCCATATGTGATTATTTAATAAAGCTTCAAATTCACGTTGCATGGTAGCTTTCCAAGAAGGATGACTTAAGGCTTTTGAAACAGACCGAGGCTCCACATTATCAGAAGCTATAGCAACCCCCACAAAAGAATGTTTGGGTTTAATGATACCATTCTTAGCTCTTGTGATCATTAGATGAGAAGGTTGAATAGGAGGTCATGATAGAGCATGAGGTAGAGAAGATTTGACAAACATAGTGGATGACAAATCAGGTAATTCATCAGAAGGAGATACTGCATTATTGATTACAACCAAACTGGAACTATCAGAAGATGAGATAGAATCATTAGAAATAAAACAAGTAGGATCAAGATTATCAAATTCAGAGACTTCAAACCACTCAGAAGGATGACCACTGATCTGTACAACAAGAGAAGCCGGGGTCTCGTTATCAACAGGAGACAAGAATGGAAAAGAATTCTCATTGAAGATAACATGTCGTGAAATGTAAATACGACCCTAAGAATTCATGCACTTGAAACCCTTATGATTGTCGCTGTACCTAATAAACGTACATCGTTCACTTCAAAACTGAAATTTATTTTGATTACAAGGCCTAAGACATAGATAACAGAGACATCCAAAAACCTTTAGATTGCCATAGTCTGGAACTTTATGCCATAGCACCTCAAATAGAGATTTATTCTGAAGCACAGAAGTAGGTAACCGATTAATAATATGTACACTAGATGCAAAGGCATCCGACTAAAAACAAAGAGGCATATAAGCTTGAGCAAGTAACGACAAACCAACTTCAATAATATGGTGATGCTTGCGTTCTGCTCTACCATTCTGAGCATAGGTATAAGGACATGAAGCCTGAGCAATAATTCCTGCTTCATTAAACAATGACACAAAAGATTTATATTCACCTCCATTATCACTATGAAACTTCTTTATTTTCCTATCAAATTGATTCTCAACCATGTTTTTAAAATGTTTGAAGGCAGACAAGGCATCACTCTTAGCCTTAAGTGGATATAACCACGTGTAGCGACTAAAGTCATCAACAAAACAAATGTAATAACAAAAACCAGAAGAGGACAAAATCGGTGCAAGTCCCCACAAATCTAAGTGAATCAACTCTAATGGTACTGATGCTCGAGAATCAGATAAGGAAAAGGGAAGGGCATGAGATTTGCCAAGTTGACAGGCATGACAAAAATATAACTTCTCATTAATCTTGGACATAATATTACAAGCTTTCAATACATTTGTAAGTGTTTTAGTGGAGCAATGCCCAAGTCGCTTGTGCCAAGTTTGTAAAGTAGAAATAAAAGCTTGTGCATCAGTAAGGAACGATGCAGCAGGAGTAATAAATTGAGGTGTTTGATTAGCACGATAAAGTCCACCTTGACTAGGCTTCCCTGTGAGAACCACTTTGTCTGTTGCCTTGTCCTTAACATAACAACCAACAGCATCAAACATGATTAAAGCATTATTATCAACAGCTATTTTGTGAACACTCATGAGATTCTTCTGAATTTTAGGAACAACTAGAACATTATTCACCATCAATGGTCGAGAGCCAGAGTTAGAAAACTGAGCAGAAGCAACTGTATAAATAGGTAACTTGTGTTTACCTCCCACTTCAAGAGTATTTGACCCAGCTATAGCAGTATTGGAAGAACTAAGAACATCATGAGTAACATGATGAGTTGCACCGCTATCAAAGTACCATGTTGGATCATTGACTACTTCAAGTGTGTCAAAATATGCTGCCGGTTCAGTAGACCATGAATAATTTGGTTTTATGAACTGCTTATCATATCTGTAAAAACAGTCAAACACTGTGTGTTTTGGCTTGATGCAGACTTAACAGGTAGGTTTATTGCTTTGGCCATAACGACCTCGTCCTCGTCCATGATTATTTCTATTAAAACCACCATGAGGAGAACCCCTATTCTGAACACATAAAACAGAGTCAGACTAAATAGAGAGATTAGCAAAAGCATTGCTCAGATTTGCTGTAGAAGACCGATGCACATGATCTAGTCTAGACTCATATGATAGTAGTTTGGAATGTAGTCCAAGCCAAGTTAAATTCTCTTTATCAATAAGTTGTATAGCAATTGAAGTATAGTCAGAATCCAAACCAACAAGAGTTACGATGATCAGCTCTGACGTCAACAATGGACTACCAGCTAGTGCTAGATTGTCAGAGAGAACTTTCATTTTGTCTATATATTTTTCCATACTTAATCCACCTTTTTACGCTCGATGTAGCTCAGCTTTCAATAATAACACTCGAGCTTTTGATTGTGCTCCGATGAGTTATTGTGTAGCACTCCACAATTGGGCAAAAGTGACACAGTGAAGCATGTGTTAACTAATATCTGGACTAATCGATCCAAGTAACCATCCAAACAACAACTGGTCAGTGGCAATCCAGTCTTCATATTCAGAATTAATTTGTACCTCATCATTGATAACAATGTATTCAAGCGGACATGGCTTCATTTCGAGTAGATATCCATCCAGTCGATGTCCTCTTACAATCGACAGGACTTGAGAACTCCATAAAATGTAATTTGCACGTTCCAACTTGATCGTGCTAGCTTGATTCAAGCTAC